TTATGCGAAGGACTTACTATACCTTTAGTTTTTTTTTATTGTGACCTCGCTCCTCCTGCAGAACAGGAGGATTGTCATAAGGTAGCCGAGGCCCTTAATAAATTAAAAAATTGAAGAACTAGTCAAGACTCAATTTAAAAATATGAACTTTAAGCTCTTAAAATATGGACAGGCACGCATGTTTTATGCAAAATCTGGAATGCTTGGGAAGATACTTGATTTCAGATTGTCCGCGTATCAACTACTCCGGTGGATGAACTGGATGCCATTTGGTTACCGTAATGCCCGTTCCCTGAAACATGACATTTTAGGTTTTCTCATATTCTCAGCTTTTCGGACTTGTAAGAATCCTTGGCTAAGAGTCAAAATGACTTCAACACCCACCTGTATCATTTGCTCCCAATGCTCTTGAGCATCTGGTGAGCTGGAATTCAAACCCAGTGCCAGCCAACCTAATAGCTGTCGACGCCTCAACACACCCACTGAACTCCATACCTCAATCCGCACTGTGCATACATCCAAATCAGGACGATGCAACTGGAAAATATTGTTTACAAAAATGAAAACTACCATAAAAGCCAGTGATTTTATTGACGGAGGGAAAGTGATATTTATTGATCGAAAAAGTCGCAATTTTTAAGAAATCGCATGCTAAAGTGATTGAACTAACCTGAATGCTAGCGGAATGATCATATTGTGGCTCCGATGTGCCTTTCACTAGCTCAGTTTTCTGACGCCAAAGTTCATTGCCGAATTCTCCCAATGCGACAATTTTGATGAAGGTGTCTAGAATCCAAACAATTATTAATTATAGGATTGTTTAAAAAAACAGGAAAAGGAAGGGTGCATGAAAAATTTGGAGTATTTTTCAAAGAGTTTGAGTTTGCGTAAACTGCTGAGACATGAAAGTTTCAACTTCTCAAAGGACGCATAGGCTGGAAAAGTTGATAAATCTAATTGATTACATCCAGAACATAGGCGTTCGCAGGTAACTTGCTTGGGTGCAGGAAAGAATCGAAGGCGTGACATGTTCGTGAAAATGACAAGCTCATTTCTCCTTGTTTG